AACTGTTTTTGCAAAGTTTCTTGATATCAAGATAAATTTGTAGCTAAGGTTTCTAAAGGATTAACAAGCCAATAAAATATGGGTTTTCTGATCCACGAAGACCTTGTATACTTGAAAAGAATATTTGAATGATACGCAAATGTAGTTGTATCAAATCGATCTCTTTTTTTTTTTAAACGAATTATATCAAAACGTCTAACAAACTGTTTCATTTCAATAGGAATATTACAACTTTGGCTTTTCAACTTTTCTGAATCACATTTATCTATGTACCATAATGCAGCAGCTAAGTCTTTAACAAATTCTTTTCTAGTTGTCATCGCAGTGTCTCTGCTCCATCCACCATTATTTTCATGAATCCATTCAACAATATCATATCATAATTTGTCTAATGCATTTGAGTGTTCAGAGATAGTAAAAGTTGGCAGATGATTTAAACTAGCAGCATCATCCATCATTTGTGAAAAAATATTAATTGGTTCAGAGAGTAGCGATATTGAACTATTTGTTTGATAATATTGCACTCTATTTCCCCAAGCTTCAATTGCTTCGATCATATTACATTCCATACTAACAACATTAAAAGGCCCATTTTGATTAGATGAAAACTCTGCTTTAACTGGTTCCAAACAGTCTTCATTATTTAATTGCACTTCAGGAACAATATTTCCCACAATAAGTTCTTCATAAAACTGTCTTACAGTAACATTTTTTGGCACAGGAACACCAATCCAGTTTACTTTTACGGTCATTATCAGAAAGTCTTACTTTTTTAGTGCACTATACGACGCGGCGTTTTCAAGTTTGTAGACAGGTTTTACTAGATTTTACATACCGTTCAGATTAATATTATCAACCGTTTATAGCGAAAAGACCCTAAAAAGTAATCAACTGTATCACAAACTTTGAAGGCGTTATATATAGTTTCTCGTGCTCTTACACCCTGAGCAGAACTGAACTGAGCAGACTGGATCCTTGCAGAGCAGTAGGAAAAATCTCCAATCGTATGTACGAATTGATCGATAATAAGCGAAACGTTCAAAAAAAAAAATTCGGAATAGAATCAATTTTCCGGTATTAAATTCTTATCCTTGCTGAAATAATATGCAAGTATAACAATCATTTATCAATATACCATGGCGAAGCCACGGGTCGGCGCTAGTAGTTTTAAATTTAATCTAGTGAAATAGAATTCAAAGTAAAAGATGACCTTTGTGTGTAAATTTGATGCATTATATAAATTGTAACATGTGATGCAAAAAATGTATTGTTGATCGCAAGAAAAAAATAAAATTTAAATAATTTATTCAAGCAACACTTAGATTTTTTTACACACTCCTATTCATATTTATAAACAGTTCTTAGATATGAACACAATAAAGTATGAGTAATGATATAAAAATATATGGCAATATCGCACAAAAAAGACATCTAATAACCAAATATACATAGAATGTTGCATGATAGCTATATATAAGCTAAGATAATAGAACAATCTAAAAGAAAAAAATACTGCAAATATTCAAATAATGCTTTGAAATATGCTTATAACTTTGAATATTTCGCGCATTGTGGTTTCATTACTAACAACATGGCTACCAGTAAAGGTTAACACTAAACAATGACAATTAATAAGACATATAGATGATGAAATAAAAACAAGTAAATAATAGCAAATGCACCCATTCTAAAAATATATGATATTTCTAAAATATTTCGAAAGCAGTTCTGTTAGACACTAGATTGACTGCCTGTTTGTCTAAAGCTTATCAATTTATAAAGAGCATACGTATGGCAAACTTGTAATTCAGATGGAAACAAATTTTTTGCAATCTTCAGAGAACTATCCGAAGGCCAACAGCGAAGATCCTTATTAGTTATATAATCTGTTAGCTTATCTGTTGAGGATATATCTGAAGATTCCGCCATCAGATAGCGAACCATAAATCGTTTCAATGCAATCAATAATTCAAAGGCGGAAATTTTATGCCAAGAGTTTTCAAAGGCAGCAGCTTCAATTATCCATGTCCTCACCCCCAACGATAATGGCTCCTTATACTTTGCTTGTATGTCGTCAAAAGTGCATGTCTTCATGTTCTCCACCTTCTCATACAAACTGATCAAGTGTTTGAGACGTAAATTAGTGCCGATCATCCCACAAAACTCTGCATTTTCTATCAGGACAGACAAATCCAGTTGCCGAGAAATATAGTCCTTGACAGGTGTCTCATTATTAATTTCATGGTGGATACTACATATCAGCATTTCTAAAGCAGGAAGCATTCTAGATTCATTTTCGGATGAAAATGATTTGTCAAACACATGGTCATCAGGCAATGCAGGATGCATTTTAGATGCATTTTCAGATGAAAATGATTCGTCAAACACATAATCATCAGCATCTATGTTCGCAATCGGAAGTGGCTCTTGAGTAACAAAATCATTAAGACATGTCAGAACGTAAAAATTTCGCAAGAACATCTCTTCAAAATAAGGAAACGATTCGCTTAAAGTAATAAAAGATTTATTGAAAACCAACTGACGCGCAAGTTCCATTTCAATTTGATATAAATCATATATAATGTCCTCTCCATAGCGAATCTCCAGATTCCGTTGGCTGTATCTCAATATTTCATCATTCCTTTCGTAATCAATAAAGTTTGCGAGTTGTGCATGCTGAATCTGTACTGTTTGAAGATAGTATTGTATTCTATCATTATTATTATTTTGAGTTGTAAATGCTGGTGTGTTCTCTACGTTAGTTTCTAGAAATTTAAGAGAAAGGCACAAACCAAAAGGAATGGCAATTGTTTCTTCCAAAAACAGATTTTGTAATTCAATCAAATAAGAAAGAATTGCCCAAAGATATATCCCGTCATCTTTTTCTTCTGCTAAACCGAATATAACTGATGAGTTGAGTGATATTTGAGGAAATTCCTCGAATTGTAAACATTGGTATCCCTTTACATGCGGGGCCACCTCATTCCACGCTTCCTTAAAATTGCTAAATGAAGAATGTAATTCTGAAGATATTTCTTGTAGCTTGCCATTGTTAGATTCTTTGTTTATAAAATTATCAAACGTCATTACACGAGCTTTTTGTCTGGTAATTTGATATTCTAAACGCGTTTTAAGTACTTGGACAAACTTCAAAATTGGTAAAAGGTTTTTTATGAGATGCAATTTCTTTTCGTGCCGGAAAAAAACCTCCAAGAATGGAAATTTGGCTTTGTAAGCTGTATTAATCATGTAATAAGCATGTAAGCTTTTAAAGTTCACATCTTTGATCTTTCTCCAGAGTCTAGGTAGATTCTCATTATGGTATTTTTCGTCTTTCGCTGATAACATATCATCGATCTCCTCTTCAGTTAAACTTATTCTGTTTTCTGACAATTTATTCCGGATGTCTTTTGCCATAACCATTACATTAGTGACACTAAAATTAAGATCCATGCTAAATTTATGTTCCCAGTTTTCTCGTTTTTCTGAAGTATCCAGTCGCCATTCATCTGATGACGATTTTTCGATCATTGAGAAAATTATAGAATGCAAAATCAAGGCTAATTGTTCGTTGTCACAATCAAAAATCTCCTTAAGCACATTCCAATCATTGCGAATGGTTTGAATACAATGCTCCATCGCATCTCCAGCATTATTACCATTCTTTGCAAAAAATTCTGATGTGACAGACGATGGTACAGATGCACCAAGAAGAGCATGTACAAACAAATGTAAAATGCGATAAGATTGTGGTGTCATCATGCGGACGTTCTGTGTTGTTTTTGTTGAAATTTGTTCAACTATATATCCAGGTTCATGCTTAATTGATACCGATGTAATCTTATTTTCATCCAAGCGTTCATATTCGCTTTCAGTTGAACCATAACCAATACCTTTTTTGCAATTTGCGCACTTACCCGAAACACTAAGTGGAAATACAGATATCCGATAATATTGTTTAATTAATTTAATTTTCTTTGAAGCAATATAATATATTCCTTTGCCATATATGATTAACTATACCTGACAGGGTCTCTTTCTGTAGGGTTTCCAAATGCTCCACAGTCAAAAACAAAAAACTTTTCTCCGCATATGCATTTATACCTTTTGAATTATACAATTTAGCATAGCCGTTTACAACTGCATATTCAAAATATTAAAAACAGCAACAACAATATTGGCATATTACCTGGTGACACCTTCTTCTGCACCATCTGCATTTCTTTTGAAAAAAATAAATGATGCTTTAAAACTGTATATCTGAAATGTAATAAAGGAATTGCACTGGCAGAAATTTGCAGGATTTTGAGATTTTATGAGATTACATTTTATACAGAATTTTGTGAAGAATTCTCCCAATAATATTATAAAATATAAACTACAAAATTCAGTAAAATCCTATAAATTTCCGTAAAAATTCTTCAATTGTACAGTACCTAATAGAGGCGACAGCATTCATAACAACACCTTCTATGTCAGACGGACACGTCAAAATGAAGTCATTTTGACAAACATGTAATTGATGGAGGTAAGCAGCAAGTGGACTTGCATTGTTTTGGATGGAAGCATGTAATATCATTAAATGCACAATGACTGATTTCATCAGCAATTCATTATCTTCAGAGCGATGTTGATTTGGGTTTTCATCGACTTTATTGTCTTTGAACAGTTGAATCAAAGAATTAGAGTTAAATAAAATATTTTTAAGAGTTTCTTTATATACCAATGAAGTATTCATGGCTTTTATTTCTTTAGATAAATAATTAACCACTCTTTTTTCATTGTCAGTCAATTCACGTGAAGTCCTTATATAATGCAGACGGGCCGCAATTACTCCAGCAAATGTAATGAGACTATTTTCGTTGAGATCATTTTTGTTCAAGGTTCCATTATAAAACAAGCTAACACCCCAATTATACACCCTATGAAATATATTATGCATCCCTGACTGTGCCATTTCCAAATATGATGCAAAGCTCGTAGGGTTGGCTTCATTGCGGTTTAATTCGTCGCAAATATGATAATAGTAATCTTCCGCGTGTTTGTAGTCCCGATGCAACCAATATGGGTTGAAAGTATGTTGATTCTCCTTATCGTTCCAGGGTATTTCTTTTAGCCAAGGAAAAAATTGATCTTGTGATTCACATAAATCTCTAATATCTTGCATTGAAAAATTGCAAGACCGAAGATATTTTAGAAAATATATTTTGAGTGAATGAATTCTCGGCTGTTTCCAGTTCATGAGGTCGTTGATACTACTTATAATTCTTTTCATGTCAGTATCAATGCGCATTGTAGCCTTTGAAGTGGTCCTGTTGGCATTACGGAATTTGCGTACATATTCTTTTAGGATGGTCTTGTTTGCATCGCATAAAGTACGCACATATTCTTTCAAGAAAGCAATAGCTGATATACTTTGTAATGGCTCTATATTAATGTTAGTCAGTGAATTAACAGCGTTGAAAAAATTATGATGCAGTTTAGTTAAGTCATAATGCACGAAAAATGTTTTTTGGATAATATCACAAGACAATGCCGCTATTGGCGAGTCCAGGACATTTTTTTTAATAGATCGTTGATAATCTTTAGATTCGGTAAGTCTCTAAAAATTTCATTCTGAGTGTTGAGCAAATCAAAAAATACATTTTGGTCTTTTTCTTTTTGATATTTTTCATATTCTGCGAGGAAAATACTTTGTATGATGGGACTTGCAGAAATAAAAGGATTATATTCAAAAGATTGTTCATAAAAAAGTTGCTGAATTGTAGGTATGAGAGTCGAAATACCAAGGCAACGATTTATAAACGACATTCGCACATATTTCAAATCATTTGATTTGAGACCTTCCAAGATTTCATTAACAAACTGTTCGGATAAAGTGTTCATCATACAATGTCTCTTAATCGACTTAATAACCTTTCTGAACGATGATGGAATTGTTTCTATATTTAAATTTGTAAGATCATTACAAATACATAACAAATGAAACGATGGCAAAGTAACCAGTTTTGGTATAGTGGTACTAATTAATAGGAGCTTAGTAACTTTATGTTGCCATTTTTCTAAATTAACTTTTATCTTTGTGTCTAAAAGGATATCCCAATTTAAAATGTATCGTTCAATTTTTTGTAGAATTTTTCCAATATTTTTGTCATTTTCTTTCTGAAATTCCATTACTATTAAGCGTGCTGTTTCTTTATATTTAGTACAGATTCCATGCATCATTGTATGTGGGAAAATATTTGCTACTTTGTGCGAAAATCCAAATACCTCTTCTTGAAGGTATTGTTCAATTTCTGTGTCGTTGAATACTTTCTTATTATTGACCGGAAAATTAGTAGCAAGATCCCTTTTAAACAGCATTTCAGCACGTTTGAGAAGTGCATCAGCTTTATTTTCCCATGCATTGCTATTATTTTCTATTAACGCTTCCCAAATCGAGTTTGACAGTGTATGCAAGTTTTCTGGAAATATTAACGGCACATCATCAGGAAGAGTATTGAAAACATCCAGATTAGAATACATTTCCTTGCTTTGCTTCAATAAAACAAGCCATTCAGACTCAAGCTTCTCTTTCTTCATTGGCAGTCGATTTTCTAATTTTGTGACAGACATTTCTAAGTTTTCTTTTGCCTTATTTTGTGCAAACGAAAGAGTTTCAATAATTTTCTCATTGTTTTTCATCATAAGATTTTGTTCTGTTACTTTGCAAAATTCACCAAAATTATTTCTATGTTGCTGTACAAGGCTTTCCGGTAAATTTTTAACTATATTATCAAAATTACACTGCAGTGGTTTAATCAGCTTTTCAAAACGTTCCTTAATATTGGGTTTTAAAAGTGGCAATTCTGATTCTATGTTGGATACGGATTCATTAATTTGATTCTGAAATTCTTGTATTTCTATAACTATATCTGCAATTTTCATTTTGATATCATTCACTATTAAGCAGGCTGATTCACTATAAGTGCCATAAGTTTCCTCCACTATTTCATCTGAAAAACTCTCCAATTCCAATTCTTTTCTAAACTTTTCTAGTTCTTTGTATAAATATGCATCAATGCCTTTATCATCATGTCCCTCTACTTCATATCGAGCATTCATAGCCTTAATGTCATAACTATAAACAAGTGTGCGATAATCATCTTTTGCATTTTTGGTCAAAGTTTTAGCGCGAGCGATTTGCGTTCTCTCAAAGATTGAGGTGATCGTATAGGTTTCTGAGTTATTATTTAGTTCATTGCATAATAATTCAGTAAACTCAGCAATGTCCTGGCCAGTACGTGGTTTTCCTATATAATATTTTAATTAGAAAAAATTAATGAATGAGAAATTTAATAAAAATCGCATACCGATATCGTCCTTTGATTCATTAACACTCAATTGTTCGGAAAATTTTTTGCGCATCTTTTTAAATATTTGCTTCCAGTTTTCATTGAAATCTTTAAAGAGCAATTTTCCTCTGCTTTGACTCAAGTCACTTAATGGAAAGAGCCATACCTAGAAATTAAAGCGAAGATATATCTTAAATAATTTCAAGTTGCGAATTAAATTATAAAAGTATGGTTTCTTACATCAATACTTTCAAAGGAGTCATTCAATAGTTTACGAATAGTATTGTGTTCTTTGTCTTTATTTTTACGACCCTTCTGAGGCTCTAGCAATAACTTTTTAACGTCTTCTGGTGTACTATTATTATTATTATCCCAGGAGCGGAAAATAATATGGAGATGGCCGTATAGTTTTGCATTTTGGTTCTGTGTAACAAAGTACATCTTTTAGTGGTATCTTATCATTTAAAAAGAATAAAGTCTTATAACCTACTTGATTTTCAATATCTTGTGTGATTCGTTGTGCTGATTTTGTCATTGCAGCCAGACTACTAAGTATCCTATCCGTTAGAAACGCTCCATGCCACCAGAAAATTACAATTTTTGAAGTGACAAGGATAGGAGAGAAAAGGCAGAGATCAAACTCATCACCTTTATCTAGGAAATATTTAAGAAGTTTTGTTATGCCCTTAAATGTCATGTTGAATTGAAACATAATAAACTTACTGCCTTGTCCTTCTGTATCGACAAATCCAACTAAGGCATCGCCGTCAATCTCCAGGTTATCATTTATCTTTGAAAATTCTTTAAGAGGTATGAATGTCTTAGAAATGTCGACACCCGTTGTAATTGTCTTCATAGCAGGAGAGGACTCGAAAATTTCATTTTCATAATTATCCACACCCGCTAAGATGTTCATTAACGTTGATTTTCCCGCTCTTATAATAAGGTATAACTATTAGAAGTTACACTAAATTTTAAACTGACAATTTAGTTACCTTGCTGGGCCAAAAATTGAAATAAGATTTACAATTTTTTTCTTAGTGCAAAGAAATTCGGTAGCATTCTTTTTAACATCGATATGGATTCTGGATACATCAACATCATTGTCTTGATTTTCGTCGTCTTCATCATTGATAACCAACCACTTTATAGATCCCATTTCTTAAAATATTTAATATTTAATACTTATATTCGTTATTTCCTGAAGAGTATTAGAGAAACTTACTATTTGCATATAAATAAAGGTATATATATCAGCAACGGAGTTTTTTTACTGCAAATTAGAATGCCTAAACGTGTGCATAAAGTATCTTATATTTGTCAGGTTCTATCACATAAATTGACGTGTACAGGAAACTTGAAAAATTGCCGAAGATTATCACTTACCAGAAAAAGGAAAAATTAACCGAAATTCAATCCGAATGAGAAATCAGTTGAAAAAAATAATAAAGACCATGAAACACCAATGGTTACC